CATTGAAGGGGACCCATTTCCAAACTGTGGACGAGGTCAAGGATAAAACGGCAACGCTACTGAAGGGGTTGACACATGATGACCTGCAGCATTGTTTCCAACAATGGAAAATTCGTCTCCAACGATGTATAGATAGGGGAGGGGAGTATGTTGAAGGGAATACCAATTAAGTTGTAATATTGTAATAATAAACACACTTTTTGCTACCAATCTCGTTATTTAATAGCCACACCTCGTACTACCGCGACCTTCACGTCTTCTAGGCAAACGGGAACTGAACACTGCCGGTGTCTGTGAGTGAGTAGCAGGAATGTCCCAACATGCCTCTACATGCGTCAAGCTTCCCCGCCACAGCAGCGCTACTATAGGCATAGTCCGAAAAGTTTTTGAAGGTACCTTGTTGTTCTTTATACAAGGAGTCGTAACTCGTTGAAACCCTGCCAGCTGAAAATTGTTCTCATGAAGCACGAGCTCCGTAATGAATTCATCCCCAACTCTCGCTTAGTTTCTTCCGCTACTGGCTCATTGCTTCCGAAGATATAGTCATGGGATCTATTTCCTGTTCTTGCTCTTCCTCTTCTCTCGGAGACAGATCGTAGAGGCAGAAATAGCACAGAAACTTTCTTAGCAACTCGTAGACATTCTCGCCGATTAGCAAGGATTGATTTAACACGAATTTAAATGCTTCTTGAACGCCCTGGGATGTATAAGGTAAATGGAATGAAGTAACGGATTGGGAGAAACAGTAGTTGTGCAAATTTTAGCCAAAATGTTGTGGGTGAACTACTGGATACATACCCATTACTTGTGTAAGAGTGCGGTGGAATCAACATTGTATCAATCCCGACGTAGTTGTGAGTGTCCTCTAAGGCAATCAATGCGAGAAAAATTGTCAAAGATTCCAATCATAGTGAACTAGCAGAGCCCATTCCATTCTGTTGCCCTGTATGATGGTAATCCAATAGTTGTCGGAAAATTCCCACAGTCTGTTTCACGGATCATCGTGAAGCCTAAATATCCAACATTCGCTGTTCATCAATGTATTTCTAGGTCAGACGTTTTTTATTCGTCCTCCTTGTTTCTTTTCCAAATAAGCATGCTCCCCATCTTGAAGCCAGAGTATGCAGTCGACAAGATCATGTCAGGGGTGCTGACCGATCAGGAGATGGTGTTCATTCCAGGATATGCTTCACTCTTCCTACTGTTGAAAGCGTGAGTCTGTCTCACGATGCAGTTACCCCGTCTGAAAATGATGCCCACCTAGCTGAAAATGTCCACTTCTATTCCGTTTTAAAGTCTTCCCCTTTCATCTCGACTCTAGGATCTTACCTACTCATGGGCTATTCAAACTTCTTGAAATATTCGGGGCTGGTGACACCATGAAGGAATTCACTGGCAGGACCAAGAAGGAGCTGTGATACCCATTTATTCTTCCCTTTCCCCCTTGGGTATGTTGTTATCTACGAGTAAGATGGGAGGAACATTTTCCCTCATTTTTTTATATTCTGTCTTTGATATGCCATTGAATACATGTTACATGGTTGCTGATGGGCTCCTGTCACTCCTAGAGAGACACGAGGATTGTCGCAGAATGTTCTTTTGCGATGTTTCCATGGACAATAAACCAATATCCGCAGAAACATTTGTTGGAAATGGTTGAGGGAAATGCATTGCAACCAAACGGACGAATTCCTGTTCCTTTTTTGGTATTTGTTTGCCGTATGAATAAGTTGGAATACTGTGGTACAAGCAAAACCGTTGCAGAAAAATTAACCGTTCGGCCAGTCCAATAAATATGCGTAATACGCATACTATGATATATTTTAAAATTGCATACTATGCAATTTTAAAATCAGAGACTCCCACTGAGACCTGGAACATTATTCAACATTTAGAAATAAGCCAAGTGTAGAGTAGTACCAGTTCAAGTGCATGAACCCTGACAGGCAGCCTGCCTGAAGTTCGACTTGGCAACACTTGAATTAAGGCGTGCATTTGTCCTCTTGAAACTCCTAGGAGAAACTACGGCTTTAAGACCCAATACGTTCCCTACGTGTCATTTTTTTGTGATTGAAGAGGCAAAGGCATTGATATAGCATATAAATTTTGGAATGATGGAAATTACAGGCAATCATATAGTTCTCGCAGCTTCATATGGACGATCATTACCATGCTTTCGTACAGGTCTTGCATGGATGTTTTTTTTAGTCTTGTGGCCTTGACTTTAGTGATTCACATGTTCAATCAGGTCCACAATAAGCTGATGCTTAATTTGCATCATTTTAGCATTCATTTGCGTAATACGTTACGGTACGCACGGCAGGAATGACTTCCCATTCATCTGGATGTCACTAGCTTTCGGTGTGGAATTTTTATATGAATTTTGCTTGGTAGCATTTAATTCTTTACTACTGCAGCCACGGTATCAGGCTTCGTCATTTCACCCCGTTATCTGTAATGGTAAAACTCAGATGCAAGTTTGTCAATCCCTTGCTCTTGTCAACAGTGTGGAGGATCCCTTCTTAAAGAAGCCAACTCTTTTCCGATCTCGTCGTGGGAAAATCCATTACACTGTAATGTTGGGATATTTCAGGTATTATTATTTTTTTTTGCACCTAGTATGGGAGACAGTCATTGTTTCACAAGCTCACAAGGATCGATGGATGATTACTTAGAAATCTTCTCCCGAGTGTGTCTGAGAACTAGAAACTCTGCCAGTGATAACCCAGTTGACGTAACATTCGCCACACAGCAGAGTAGCAGTTATTAATGATGTTGTAGCCTTGACCTCCCAACAGGGTTAATTACCCTGTCGTTCTGACAAAACTAGAACATGGCATCCTTCGATCGACTAGGCAATGCTCCTGAATGGTCTATCTAAATTTCCCCTCTTGAGGATTGCTGTCCGAGGGAGAAGTGAAAGAAAACAATGCCTTGTTCCGATGAAAATATGCCCTGAGCGAGCGAAAGCCTTTCATACCGGTTCATCATTGATGCCTTGTTAGAGATACCAGAGGTGATTTCGAGAACTCCGTCCTGTCCCATGGATACGAAACCTGTTCATGATGCACATCGGTTCTCACTTCATCTGATAAGTACTCTGTCAACGGTTGCGATATCATGAAATGCCTCAATTTTAAGGCTGCCTTTGGTGCATATTTTACAACTTGCTATGAACATGGTTCCCTGAACTGGGTGGATTACGGCTTTAAGCCAGTCTTATGTATCTGTTCCCAGACAACATAAAACGCTGAGCAATTTGAGACCCAATAGCCGAGAACTGGGACCATAACACACTGGACGAAGTAGGCGTAAGGAATCAACGAAACACCGATAAAGGCAAGGAGTCTTGTCAAAACTCCGTGCGATGTAAAGACGTCGGAGGCGGACGGAGAGAGACAACAAGCTTGCCGGAGACGCCTCTTTCTTGCTTGGAAAGACCATCCTGCGTTTCTGCGAGCTAGCTTGCCACTAAACAACTCTCTCATTCTCAGCGTCTCTCCGTCAGCATGTCAGTCAACGTACTTTTTCTACGTCTTATACTTGCACAAAAGAACTGACTTTTAGGAAGTCAAGGTCAAAAAGCTTTAGGTGTTTTCCTTCCTACAAGTTGGTATTTCTGCTCAAAAAGCACCGTGATTTCATGGCCAAACGTATAGTAGAAAATGGTAAACATTTTCTCGTTGCAGTATGTTTAGAATGAATGGAGCTCCTGCAGACGGCGAGATACCTCTCTTGATATGGTAAACCATTTAGAGGGCGGAATCCAAACCCTCTCGTACTGATGCCAGCGAATATGCCAACGAGGCGACCATTGTTGTTGTTCGGCATTTTGGAGGATTAACTTCTCCTTTCACGAGCACGATGCGAAGGAAGAGGAGACGGCTTTGTAATGCCGTGCAAACTTCGAACAAAGTTCTAAATGTAAATCCTGTTTTTCTGAAAACCCGATGGATCGGATGGACGGGCAATTGTTGGAAATGCATGTATTTTTCGAAAGTTTTTCTGGTACCTCTCCATCGAACCAGGGCACCGAGGATATACGTGCATAGAAGCTCTATCGAGCACATAATTTTTTTATTGTAGAAGAAGTGATTCTCTTTCTTCCATCGATCCGTGTGCCTGGAATCGCCAGCAATTGACTTTTTGTTGAAGTATTCTGAGGGAGCATTCACCTTTAGATCGAAGAAGCCCATGACTCATCGATGCACGACGAGAAATAGCAATTCTGTTGGACACAGGAAATCTAACTGACGACGGACATTCGAAATTTCCTCATTTTCAGGTTGAAGTTGCTGCACTCCAAATGCCTCACTATTGCTGATCCCTCATACTCAACATTTTGTAACGCGCAATCAGCGAAGTGAAACTGTGAAAAATATATATACCTTCTCGATAGGGGGAAAGAAGAAATACTGTATGACTCCCCGCCGTTCGAAATGCATAAGTAGGACCACCGCTTTGTTGACCTTAATACCAAAATGTTCGGCCAGCAAAAACTGATTAACAAAACATATCGGTGAATACGATTCACAATATGACAAAGAAATTCATGCGCATTGCCCCCTACATCGAGAACAATGCTGTTCTTTCGGCGGCGGGTCAGAGTTGTGCAATTAAGAAGGGCAAATGAGAGTTGTGCAATTAAGAAAGGCAAATGCGTTGAATAGGTTCCAGTCATATAGGTGGGTCAGTCAAATGGAAGCAGCACATCGTGCAACCTTACATTACCCGCTTCATGACGCTGTGGTGACTATTTCCGGCTATATTCTTCTAAGTAGTCCTCTTCGGCATCTACACAATTTCTTCAATGTGTTTTTAGCCCATGGAATCCAAAGACGAGTGTCAGCAATGATACCAACGGACGAAGAAACACCAGAAATTTCTGTAAACAAATTGTTCTCTTCTTCCTGGATAGGAAAAGCTGAATGATTCTCCCAGGAAAGCATTCCATTATATGATGGATGGATGTGAACGTGAACGAACGCCCGGTAAGCATATACAGTATACCATAGGTGTCTGTAATTTCTAATCTCAATAATTGAGAAAATCCTTTATTGTAATTGAAGGCTTCGTATGAGGGGCTACTACAATTTTGTTGTTCCATCCAATGCCTCTATTGACGTCAATTCATTTTTTTCCGTGGGGGTAAGAGGAGGGAAAACTGTGTTGACCAAGTGACCAAGTTGACCGACGTCCACTGCTATTTTTTGTTCATGGTGGAATGTGAGTGGTATGCTTTCGACCTCTCCATGTTCAGTCGTAAGGGATCACGTGGTACTTCTCTAGTGTTAATTATTGCAATAACGTAAACAGAAAGGTCCCCGAGGCATATTTAGTAGGTATTTATCGTCTACTCTTTTCTCAATGTACGCCCGATTATCGTAGCACGATGGTTATGAGGGCAAAAGTATATTTGGAAGGTCATACATTAACGAGTGGCGAACAAGAGCTTCCGGGACGGATTTATTAAAGGTATTTACTCTATCATCAAATATGTAATATTTCGGCTGAATCTTCAATTGTGTTTTTGACGGGGGAGAAAAATGTGTATTGCTTCATTGTTTTCCTTCCAAGTTCTCAGGAATTTTTTTCAGCTTAGAACCCAAGTAGAGTTCATTTTCGCAATAATTTTAGAAATCCCCAGCTAAGGGATTTTCTGTCTATAATTCATTTGCGTCACTTAATGCTTCCAGAATCCTGAAAGTGGCACGTTTTCCATACCATTCGAAATGTGATGAACCTCAGAATTTTCCCAACGGTAATAGAAATACATGATTCAGTTTATTCAGGGTTTTCACAAAAACAGGATTTACATTTAGAACTTTGTTCGAAGTTTGCACGGCATTACAAAGCCGTCTCCTCTTCCTTCGCATCGTGCTCGTGAAAGAAGTTAATGCTCCAACATGCCGAACAACAACAATGGTCGCCTCGTTGCCATATTCGCTGGCATCAGTACGAGAGGGTTTGGATTCCGCCCTCTAAATGGTTTACCATATCAAGAGAGGTATCTCGCCGTCTGCAGGAGCTCCATTCATTCTAAACATACTGCAACGAGAAAATGTTTGCCAATTTCTACTATACGTTTGGCCATGAAAACACGGTGCTTCTTAAGTAGAAATACCAACTTGTAGGAAGGAAAACACTTAAAGCTTTTTGACCTTGACTTCCTAAAAGTCAGTTCTTCTTTTGTGCAAGTATAAAGAAAGTACGTTGACTGACATGCTGACGGAGAGACGCTGAGAATGAGAGAGTTGTTTAGTGGCAAGCTAGCTCGCAGAAACGCAGGATGGTCTTTCCAAGCAAGGAAGAGGCGTCTCCGGCAAGCTTGTTGCCTCTCCCCGTCCGCCTCCGACGTCTTTACGTCGCACGGAGTTTTGACAAGACTCCTTGCCTTTATCGGTGTTTCGTTGATTCCTTACGCCTACTTCGTCCAGTCTG